AAATGTGACTTCATATATTTCTTAAGAAAATGAGTTATATGACTATCAAGGCCTGGCAAAACGCAAGCAATGACATCAACTCCTTATATTTACAAACTTAATCATATAATATATGCTCCATTAAAGTATCTCCCACCATACTCTTATTTTCTTGACCTTTTTAATTTTTGTTTTTAGTTTCGTGACACATTACATTTTGCGCTCACTGTCTATCAAGATGAAGGTTGAAGTAATCTTGTTGGATCGTTGGTTAAGCTCGTATGCAATGAGAGTCAAGATCGCATTGGCAGAAAAAGGGGTTGGCTACGAGTGTAGGGAAGAAAACCATCCCAACAAAAGCCCTTTGTTGCTCCAATCTAACCCCATTCATAAAACAATTCCGGTCCTGGTTCACAATGGTAAGCCTATTTCGGGGAGGGTATTGTGGGGAAAAGGTGAAGATCAAGAGATAGCAAAGAAAGAATTTATTCAAGGATTGAAAGAGTTGGAGGGGGAGTTGGGCATTAAGCCATGTTTTGGGTGAAAATGTAGGTTTTGTGGATGTGGCATTTGTACCCATTATTTGTTGTTTCTACACTAAGGAGACTTGTAATTTTAGGGTTGAGGCCGAGTGCCCGAAGCTTGTGTCATGGGCCAAGAGGTGCATTGATGAGAGAGAAAGCATTGCAAAAACGCTCCCGCACCCTCACAAACTTTAAGACTATTACACGGATTTTTTTACACAAATCAGACCCACAATGAAGGTCGTAATTTATAATGCTTTCCATTTGTGTTTTTGTTTCAATCTTTACCTTTAAGGAGACTAGGATTTACCGTTAACCTAGAGCGGTCAATACTCAATAACCCTTTAATGCACATTACATTATGGTTGTTTCCACTTGTAATTCATTGTTGTGATGATCTTTTGTAGTTTGTTTTGAGGAATGTGTTGTGGGGTCTTGGTGTATTAAAAGAAAACACGTTACTTCAACAAAACTTGTAACAAAATCATTCAAACCAAAACTACTTAATTAGGATGATGAGAATCTTTACTTTTCGATAAGTCGATCATAGATAACATTCCATAAGTGTAACTGAAAATTGTAAATGTGTATACATAACATCCATAATATTGTCAATTGAAACCATAGTAGAACCCAAACTTTAACCAAAATAGAATCAATGACAAGAATTGGTTCTCCCATAACAAAATCCCATCATGAAATTAGTTCCAATTGGCAAGAGTCTTTAAAAAAATTGAATCTCCAAAGTCTTTAAGGACCCACAATTAGAGGTGTGCAGGAAATCAACCGATCCAATTGGAACCGACCGATCCAATTAAAATCGATCGACCATAATTGGATATCCAATTATAATTAGATCGGATCAAATTGAAAATTTCAACATCCAATTTGGATCAATCAAACTTATTCAATTCCTTGTGGTTACCCCTAGCAATGCATCAACATTTCTCAACTCCCGATATTTGCTTAATGCCATTGATTGATACTTCATATAAATAATGTACTCCAACCATATTTGTCACTCGCAATACGAGAACCGAAGGGGTTGTTTGGTTGGTTTTCCATTAAGTTCTGAACGAATAAAGCTTTTTCGGTAGATGGATAGGAGCGTATTTTTTTAATTGAGATGAGTAGGTTTGGAATAAAACTTGGCTTTATAAGCAACTACCAAACAGTCAACTATATATATATATATAAATATATATATATATATAAATATATATATATATATAGCTGATGGAATAAGCGTTCCGTCAAGCTAATTAAGCTGTTAACCAATAGGCCCGAAGTCTAATATGACCTCTGATTCAATCAAGCTTGAGAGATCCCAACGATTGATTGAGGCTCCAAATTGGGAAATCTGATACGGAATGACCTCCGAGATTGGGAAGCAATTTACAAAAGATGAGAGAATTTTGTTCTTCTTTAGTCATTTATGGCCACTACTAAAGGTTATTTTTGCTTAATTTCTCTCTTCTATGTCTGCATATTTGGCCATTATCTTGTTTGTAATTCTTATTATTTACAGTTTCTCAAGAAGCCAGATGCAATGCACTTGAAGTCATAAAAGACATTGCTATAAGTCATCGAATGCATGATATTAATTTGTCGGCCCAGATCTAAGAATTTACATTCTTTATTATAAATTGAATCACATATAGATGTACTACTAATTATAAGAATTTGTTAGATCACAAACTTCAGCATGCTATTGTAGTAATAATGGACTATTTGGATAGGTGGAATTATTTTGTGAGATTACTTTGAAACTCTTTCTTATCCATACTTGAGAACTTATGGACTCCTATGTTTATGTGCAAGGCATAAGCTTTGTAAACCATATGCAAGCTATATCATATATGAAATCAATGAAAAGATTCCTTACTAAAAATGAGTTCTTGGGTCCATAGCCTGGCAGCACTTTATTTAAATCCCTAATAAACTTTTAAACAATAGAGTTGCTTGGGTCCAAGTTGTAGGTGGTTGTGCTTCCATTTGGACCATTTCAGTTGTGTAACTTGGAACTTCTCTTTTTTCCAGTTGCTTATAGTTTGAGATGTATACATAATCTTTCTTGTAAACTTACTTTGATTTAAGTATATAATGTTTATACATATTGAAGCCTTTTCGTTCCTCCTTTGAGAGACCCGTGAACCAACCTTTGCTGAATTTTGAGAGGTTATCTATCAACAATTCATCTTGCAGGTATGTCTTGAATGTGTTTATGCATATGAGCATTCTAAGTGATTGTGTTTCGAACCTCAATTCGTTGGTTAAGTTTACTATACACTCTATCCTAGATGCTTAAATTGGCACATTTAAGATGAGCTTTATGTTTTAGATTGTATATATTGGTTGCGCTATTATTTGTGAATCATTTCTAGTTAACTCAATGTGGAAAGGGTATGGATGAAGGGATGTGTACCGTTTTTTCGTTTTATTGGTTTGTAAGTTTCTCTTGCCGAAAACTGTAGTGGTGGTGCAGGGTAGGAAATTTATTGCAACATTTACTAGCTTTGTGGGTTAAAGTTGGTGGCTTGGATGCCATTTTTATGCCCAATGAATCACAATAGCATAATAACATCTAATTCTATCAACATGCTGCAGAGTTAGAGAGTGCACGATTACAATTCTGTTCGGATCGTAGCAACCTCAAATTTATGAAAAGTGTACATCTTTGGTCATATCATTGACGGCTATAGCAAATGTTATCCTTGAGAACTCCTTAAAAGGCTTTTGGTTTGCGGCTTCCGATGAAATTGGAATGGTCAATTCCATTTACCAAATTTCTTATATATTTGTGGTTGGCAACATGGCTGGAATTCAAATCCACTGAAATCCCCAAATTTCAGTGAATACATTAATCTTTCATTCCTTTGGTAAACCCATGAAGTTCAAGTACGTCCTATTCAAAAATGTTCAAATGAGTGAAATCATGTGTTTTAAGCTTAAGCTAAATATGGGTATAATTTAGCAAAATGAATATAATCTTTATGATGCATTTATAGATCAAGTTGGAAACACAAGGTAGCATTGGTAAGAAGTAGCCAAGTTGATCACATGAAGTGATTGCCTAAATAGTATCAAATTGTTTGTCCAAAATTAACCACAACTTTCTACATTCTACTTCCACATGGGAAAAAGATAAGTCTCATATACATACATACATGCACCCATAAATATATATATATATATATGTGTGTGTGTGTGTGTGTGTATGTATTTGTGTGTGTAATTATATTATTGTCATTGTTCTTGCTTTTTTTTACTGCTAAAAGGAGAGGTTAAAGATAGAGCTTGGGCTAGAGAAAATGATTTGAATGATACAATTAGTCATGTCCCGTCTCGTCTCGTCCTGTCCTGTCCTGTCTTGTCCAGTCTGCGTACCAAACTCTTCCAAAAATGAAATTGGGATGGTTTATCCCCAAAGTACTTACCTATTCGAATGATTTCTATCACACCAAGCCCAAGTCGTGTCAACTCTTCTCTCAAGCCATCCATTTCGGGTGTAGAGTCCGAAATTACCGAAACCAACTTTTTCATTTGGTTGGTTGCTTCATGGATTTCATTATTGGTTTCTTCCACTAGCTTAGATAACCCGATTGTCCTTTTTCTCTTTTTATTTGTTTCTTCTTCTTCACTTGAAGGAATAAAGGAAGGAGAAGTTGTATCTGAAGGACTTGGAAAGGGAGGAACACCAAGTTCAATTGCAAAATCTTCATTGTCTTCCATATTCATATTCTCTAGTATCTCTATAGCTGATCAACCATATTTCCCATTGCTTGATCTTTCCTGAGCACCAATTTCAACTGCTCGTAAGCTGGGAATAGCTTATTAGCCGTGTAATTTTTGTTGGGATGTTTCTACGACAAAAAAAAAAAAAAACAAACAATTATTAAGAGAAGTAACAAAAAGTATTATACATAACCTATTACCATTACTAATATCTAACCTTTAGATACTCCTCCAAAATCTTGGGAGTTACTATAGTCACGCATTGATTTGCGTCATTCCATCCAAATCCACTTGTATTCAACATATTATAAGCGGTAGAATACTTATCTTTTGGCCGCTTAATCTTGTTTTGTACGTGTTTCGACATGAGACTAATACCGGGAATTTTATCCCTCATCTTTGAAACAACAGCCTCATATGTACCTGAGCTAAAGCTTCCATTGTCACCTCTACCCCTGTTGATGACAATGTCTTGAAGAATTGTGATCAACAAGTCTTTCTTATCCGTTGTCCACCCACGGCGATTGGCCATTTTTTATAAATCTATAAAACAATACCAAATACCAAAACAAGATTTCATTATGAAGACAATACCAAATACCAAAACAAGATTTCATTACGAAGACAATACCAAGTACCAAAACAAATATAATTTTGTTACAAACAATACAAAAATATAATTCCATTACAGACAAGACAAATATAATTCCATTACAAACAAGACAAATATAATTCTGTTACAAACACCAATCCATACTAATGTCAATTATGGTTTAACATCCAAGATTCAAACATCTCTTCGGCTAAATCATCTCTGCACTGAGACCACTCGTCACTTGCCTCAACGACATCAATGGACTCTGATGGTAAAGAGTGGTCTTCCCCAATAGGCATATCTTCAATAGTGATTGTTGAATTTTCATGAGGATCAATGGTTATGTATGTTCTAATAAAATTATGTAACAAAGCACACGCTAAAATCATTTGCCCTTTATATCTTATTGGATAGAAAGAAGGACATAATATAGCCCAACGTTTCTTCATGATGCCAAAACACCTTTAAATAATATTTCTAGCATGTGAGAGCTTCATATTAAAGTATTCCTCCTTATTAGTAGGTGCATGACTAGCATCTTCCCATTCTCGTAAATGATACCTAGTGCCCCTATATGGTGCCAAAAAACCTTCACCATTGATATATCCTGCATCCGCCAAATAGTAATTATCAGGTGTGACTTTCAATTCATTTTGTCTAGTAACTGTATCTCGTAGAACTCTGGAGTCGATAGCTGAACCTTCCCAACTGGCTAAAACGTAGACAAATTTTAGATCACGAGTGCACACACCTAATACATTGGTCGCAGTATGTCCCTTTCTTGTTCGATATCTTGGTTTATCAGACTCTGGTACAGTTACTTCAATATAAGTTTCATCTATTGCTTCTAGACAACCCTATACAAAAAAGGTAAATAGGTTTTAGCTAAAGGATAGATTTTATATTATGTACTGTATAAAGATTGTTATAATAAGTACCTTAAACCATTTCCATCATGAATCCATACAACCATCTTTTATAGGAGTTGGTTTGACAAGCAACACGTCTTCCAAATGCAATATAGCATGCAATACTCGATGAATATACCGAGTTATTGTTTCCCCCGATCTATAGAACCTAACTTGGATAGTCCTATTCTTAGTGTGGTGTGCTAATATGTTTATAAATATAGCAACTTGCTCCTCGATTGTCATATTACCATCATCCATTAATCCACTACGAGTTTTAAGCAAATCACACAAAACTGCAAAAGCATTTCTATCCGTTCGCAACTCATTTATAAAATTTACGTTACTTTCTCATGTAATATGTTGTATTTCGGTTGATCAAATTTGAAGTCTAGTGAAAGTTCTTTGACCCAAAGTTTCTCTTTCATTATTTCTATTCTCTAATCCAATTAACCAAAGTGTAAGGGAAAACAAATAAATGAGCATTTGAATGTACATATTCCATTCGTTAATGAGTACAACCAAGTGATTCTGGTCCATCACTACAAAAAGCACAAAACAAAGTAACAAACAATAGTCAAAACAATGACCTAAGACACATTCTTCAGATGCATTTTTCAACAAACAATGACCCATTATAGAATTATAAACCATTATAACTCTAGTATACTTTTGATATAAAGCACTCTTATTAAAAAGATGCGTTCATGGCATGCTTGTAAATCAACCATTTGACTTGGACCAATTTTAATTTTAATTTTAATTTTAAAGTAAATCAACTCCATTATGGTTGTAACTTGAGTTCTAAAGGTAAATACAGAATTTGGGGATTAACTTGAGTTCTAGAACTATATGTAGAATTAGCCTTACAATTTTAATTAGAATTGTAAAGCATATTGTTGATCCTCTCTCTTAGTGATTTGATGATAATCCCTTTTCTCTTTCACGTTGTATTTGTGTTTCTGTATTTTCAGTTCCAGCGATCTTCACTGAGTATGTTCAGTGATCGCTGAAAAACTTGCTTTGTAAATCTTTCAGAGATAGCAATACTTCAAGAAGACAACACTCACACCAAAGAACTTTCAGCAAACGTCGAAGACTGAAACTGAAGATTAGAGACCGGCGAGTACGTGATCTGAAGCGGTATTCAGTGATTACAAGTCTATCTATATATGTGTGAAGACTGCTCTAGCTTCAGCAAATGATAATGAGACCTTCAGGTCATTCCAACATTCAGCGATCAAAGGAAGTTTGATTAGCACGATTGTTGTTGTCTTGTCCTTATGCACACAAAGGACAAAACCCATACCCTTACAAAAGTTAGTACGGTACAGAGCCGATTAGTCGACTCCTTGTCCACCAACTTTAGGTAAGGATGT